ATAATTTAATTGTTGTTATTTATTTTTCAATTCAATGAAACGCATTGAGTACCTTTATTTACTATTTGAGTTTGTGTAAACATAACCCCCAAAACGAAAACAGATCGTGTTAGTATGATTGTAACTTAAATTTTTGAATTTATCGCTGCTTTGTGTAGATATAATTTGTTTATTTGTTGTTTTTTTCTTTTAAATGCCTCCGACGCTACGACAATGAAACATAGACAGGAGGCGTAATCGTGAACAACCGTAGCTACAGAACAGTGACACATAATAGGCTCAACTATTAGGTTAAAATGCGCCCTAACACTACCCCAAAACAACTTTTCGTTCAAAATTGACCCTCTATCAATGACCTGTGTTGCCCGTACAGCGAGGCATTTTGAGAAGGAGGTTTATTAATAATGAAGATAAACATGATCTGAGTTACACACCGGTAATCTTTGAGTTGAATCTTTTAAATTCATTGTAAATATGACTGTTATTCGTTTTGAAATAACTCCTGTAACACTTTGCAATTGCTCGAATTCGAGCAACATGTACACTATAGTTTTATCATATTATTCTACACATATCAAATATTTATGTGGAAATATCTGCTCTTATCGTGTCTAATAAAATCCAAACATAGAAACCTTGCCTAAAATGGTACCCATCTTGAAAAAATATTTGCACCTGCCTTTGTTACGGACTTTGGCACACTGGTTTGGTAACATTATTGAAAATAACACGACGTTTTGGCTGTGAAATATGGCACAAAGAGAAAATACTATTTAAGCAGCTACTCTCATGACAGAAAGGCCATATTCCTTTTAAACTAGATCACATAATCCTTTATAAGATACGTTGATTAACAATATGTAAACGTCAATATATACGTAACAGCCAATTTACAGTATTTTTGCTTTTTGGAAATGTCCCATTGCTATGTCATTTGCATTATTTGTTGTCAATGAAACCGCATGCCCATATGAACTAGGAGGCCACTAACAGTTCAAGAATAAAATTAAGCCAACTTCACTTCAAGTATTCCACTACACCTAACATTCCGTAGAGAGATTATATTGACAACTTTATGGATAAGGCTGAGACAACTAACTGACATCCCCCATGTCAAGGAATTCCAGCAGTAAACCACAATCAATTTCTCAAAAATATGCTAGAGGGTTCATTCATTAGCACAGAAGTACGATATGAACCGACGCGACGTGACGAAGGAAAAATGAAACTTACACTGTAACGGATATACCCCATGAAGTTAGAATATGTCTTCCCAAACATTATTTTCTTTTGAAATAAAACCATGTTACAAATCACGGAAGTGTTATACTACAAAAGACCCACCAATACGATTTTAATACTGTTTAAAAGTTCTTCCTAAGAAAGAGATACAATTTAACATACTAATAATGACACCGATGACGTACGGTATGGGGAATATGTTATTCATTGAATGATCAACCAAATTTGGCAACTAACGCAATTAATATCATTATTGTTGTTACACTTATTACTCTTAAAACAAAGCTAAATGCTCAAAATGTGTATATTTCACCCAATTTATTGCAGTTAGATGAATTAAGGTAAGCCTTGAAGAAAGTAACCGATCGATTTCGACGGGTTTCACCTAGTTGTGTTTTAAAACAACACACATTTACTGGGAGTTACTTAATTGTCCAAAAGAAGTACTTGCAATGCTATTTTCTGATTTTAAAATTGTTTTTTTTTTTCTGTTACATGTCATGTTTTTCAATATAACGTTTCATTATGAAATTAGTTCATTATGAAATTCATTATGAAATTCCTTTGATCACAGAACTCTTACAATAATTTCTTATTGAACTATCTTATATCTGTTGCACGGGTTGGTGACTGCCTTTTTGACCACTTTTGCCTGTATTTTATCATATTATCCAAGACAGATCAAACTCGATACTACAAAAAAATTCAGGCCAGAGAGTTTAATTAACTTGGATTGTGACCCTTATAATTTGGCTTATATTTCTCTAAACTGACAGATTATTCATCTGCAGAGGAAGTTCATTGTGCTCTCATCGTGTCTAATAACCTGCAAACACAGAAACCTTGCCTAAAATGGTACCTATATTGACAAACTATTTGCAGCGGCCTATATTATGGACCGTGGCCCACTGGGTTGTTATCATGATTGCAAACAGCGCGACATTTTGTCTGTTAAAAAAGGTACAAAGAGTAAATACTATTTAAGCAGTACTGTAATTACAGAAAGGTCATATTCCTTTTAAACTAGATCACATCATCCTTTCTAAGACATGTTGTTTAACAATGCATGTAAATGTCAACATTTACGTAACGGCCAATCTAAAGTATTTTATGCTTTTTGGAAATGCCGCATTGCTCTGTTATTTGCATTATTTGTTGCCAATGAAGGCGCACAAATATATAAACGAGGAGGTCCCTAACAGTCCAAGAATAAAAGCCAACTTCACTTCAAGTATATTCCACTGCACCTAACTTTCCGTGGATGAATCAGCGTAAGCCTTGACAGTAACCGTCGATTTTGACGGGTTTCACATAGTGCCATATAAGAGTTGTTTCTTCGTTACCTATACCATCTTATTTACCAATTAGCTTGTTTCTATCAATTAAATCAAAAGGTCGTTAATCGCTTAAGCTAATTAAACGTATGGGACTAGTAAAGTTAAACTAAGTTTTCCTTCTTCCTTCGATTAAGTAAATTAGAAATGTTCTGCATTTTTAATGAAATAGAAGGATTGGTAAACGTGGTTAATAGAACCTGCCTTGTTTTGAGTCATAAACATGAAGAAAAGGTAATTTTTTTACAGTTTTAACCTGACTAGAAAACTGTTTGAGATAGAAGCGAGAAAGAATTGAGTTATATGTCCTATATTTAAAATATCATTTTGATATCATATACTAAAATCCTATCATACGATCACCTTCATGGTCATTGATGTAGTTTCAAGGACCGTTAACAATATATATATATTTGAGCTTGGGCCGCAGTACACACCAAGCAGCACGCACGGGTGACCGTTCTAGCATTGACTTTATATCTACACATACATATAGTCAATGCATTGACTTTATATAGTGTAGATATAAAGTCAGTGGTTCTAGTCTAGTGAGACTTGTGACAACCAGCTGGCCACGCGTCCACGCTCACGGCACGTGACCGCGAGAGCACACTGTCGTAGTCGTAGCCGTCTCTAGTGCACTGTCCCTGTACACCACTTTTTAATTCTGTTCAACGGGTTTTCTGATTCATGTAGCCTACAGTATACTAGTATACTGTACGTAGCCTACATGTACTAACTGGAAAACCGTTATCAGCCAGGCCTCACTCAATACTATACTAAGAACTTAAACAGGAATACTCTTTAATATTACTACCGATTGGTAGACAATTTAACTGTGGATATTTTTATGTTTTACATTGAGTTAAACAAAATATCGTATACGTTGCAGGTGTCTAAGTCTTGTATATCATCATAATCGTTAACAAAATAACAATTAACAGTAAATTAATTAGTAACATTATCCATATTAAAGCCGATGCTCGGTCTTATAAAGATAAGAAAACTGAAATGACAAACAACGTTCAGCGTGACAACTGCGATTCAAAAACAGTAATAATGTGCTATGTACAAATAAAACTATATTTTATTCATACAAAAAATGTATCGATAGTCCCAGCCCGTGCTATTTATATAAGCATTCTTCTCTCAAATATTTTATTGGTAACCAAACAAATAACGTAAAGCAACTAAAAATACTAAAATATAAATAATATTCAGCGCTTATATTCAAGATTATTGCTAAGAAACTAAATCAGTAATTGGTAACTGATAGTTGATGTAATATTTTGTTTTCGAAAAGTTGGGCAATTTATTTCATTTACGTTGGTAGAAATGTGAGGACTTAATGTGCTGACGATCAATCTTATATTCGTTAAAATATATACCCAGCAAACGTAAAGTACTCAGACTCATGAGGACCTAACGTTCGCATCGTGTATAAGATATATCATGAGTACTTAATGTTCTCCTCGTGTATATATATATATGAATTTGAAAGTATAGAGTTTTTGGCTTCTAGGGACATTAAAATGAAAAAGTAAATCGGTCCCGGGTCCAAGTCTTACCATGAGACCTACGGTAATAGCTTATTCCGTATATGGGAAATTCGCTAATATATAGAGAAAGTATATTGATTGTTAAAATAAATCAATTTTTGTATTTAGATTTTGGGATTTCTTTTGTCTAAATTGTTTTTACATAATATGTGTCTGTATATTTGCAGCGTTTTATTGAAAACTTCTGGACCAATTTTGATCAAGTTTCCACCGAAAGTTATTGGTGAGTTTATGAAGGGTGATGGGGGGGGGATTAATAGATACCTATTCCAAGATGTTAATATTGATGAGTTTTTAAAATAACTACATGGCAAAGATAGTAATAAATAATTATAGGGCCGAAACATTCTGTTTTCAACAATTTGCTTACATAAAAAACGAAATCAAACTTTGTTCGGCCGTATTCCAGTATATATTGAGTCTACAAAATTGTTTTACCAACCAAAATTTAGCAAATTTTATTCTCTACAACTTCGTAAAGCACAATGGTAAACAAAATATGCTTAACTTACAACATATACACAAAAAACATAAAAAATACTGAAAACTTTTAAGTTTTTGACCCCTCCTAAAGTTAGCACAGGGTGCTAGAGGTTGAAGACTCAGGATATACATCCCAGAGTACCCCCAGACAACATGTAAAAATTCCACCAAGATTGGAATACTTTCCAAGTAAAAAGTGTATATCTACTGTAATAATTTCAAGTTGAAAACATCTAGGCCTACTGATACTTATAAAATTAACTTGGTTAGGAACTTGTTATTAGGTGTTGTTAGAGGTAATTGAACATACAAAAGTATTCTTGTATTTATCGGATTTATATATTTTGAAGATTTGTATGTGTAATGTACTTGACAGACTTACCAAGTTGGTAAAGCAATATCCCCCTTCCCCACTCATGAGCCGACTGGCATTGCAGAACCTAGTGATGTAGTTAATGTTGCTCTTGAGTCTGGCAGGGTTTGTCTTGAGTACGACCAATATGAGGGCTGGTAGGAACTCATCAGCAGATGCAGGACCTCCGACAGTCTGCAGCAAAGTGAAGATGTTGCGACAACAACGGACCACACACGCTAACTTGTCCTGTGGTGCCTTGGTGGAGTCTAGACCTAGCAGTTCTGAAACAATCCACACTGTGTGTTAAGAGCTGGTAGGAAGTCATCAGCAGAAGCAGGACCTCCGACAGTCTGCAGCAAAGTGAAGATGTTGCAACAACAACGGACCACACATGCTAACTTGTCCTGTGATGCCTTGGTGGAGTCTACACCTAGCAGTTCTGAAACAATCCACACTGTGTGTTAAGAGCTGGTAGGAACTCATCAGCAGACGCAGGACCTCCGACAGTCTGCAGCAAAGTGAAGATGTTGCGACAACAATGGACCACACACGCTAACTTGTCCTGTGGTACCTTGGTGGAGTCTAGACCACCTTGGTCTAGTGCCTTGGTGGTGTGTGTTAAGAGCTGGCAGGAACTCATCAGCAGATACAGGGCCTCCAACAGTCTGCAGCAAAGTGAAGATGTTGGGACAGCAACGGATCACACACACTAACTTGTCCTGTGGTGCCTTGGTGGAGTCTACACCTAGCAGTTCTGAAACAATCCACACTGTGTGTTAAGAGCTGGTAGGAACTCATCAGCAGACGCAGGACCTCCGACAGTCTGCAGCAAAGTGAAGATGTTGCGACAACAATGGACCACACACGCTAACTTGTCCTGTGGTACCTTGGTGGAGTCTAGACCACCTTGGTCTAGTGCCTTGGTGGTGTGTGTTAAGAGCTGGCAGGAACTCATCAGCAGATACAGGACCTCCAACAGTCTGCAGCAAAGTGAAGATGTTGGGACAGCAACGGATCACACACACTAACTTGTCCTGTGGTGCCTTGGTGGAGTCTAGACCTAGCAGTTCTGAAACAATCCATACTGTGTGTTAAGAGCTGGCAGGAACTCATCAGCAGATGCAGGACCTCCGACAGTCCGCAGCAAAGTGAAGATGTAGCGACAGCAACGGATCACACATGCTAACTTGTCCTGTGGTGCCTTGGTGGAGTCTAGACCTAGCAATTTTGAAACAATCCACACTGTGTGTTAAGAGCTGGCAGGAACTCATCAGCAGATGCAGGACCTCCAACAGTCTGCAGCAAAGTGAAGATGTAGTGACAGCAACGGATCACACATGCTAACTTGTCCTGTGGTGCCTTGGTGGAGTCTAGACCTAGCAGTTCTGAAACAATCCACACTGTGTGTTAAGAGCTGGCAGGAACTCATCAGCAGATGCAGGACCTCCGACAGTCTGCAGCAAAGTGAAGATGTTGCAACAACAACGGATCACACATGCTAACTTGTCCTGTGGTGCCTTGGTGGAGTCTAGACCTAGCAGTTCTGAAACAATCCACACTGTGTGTTAAGAGCTGGCAGGAACTCATCAGCAGATGCAGGACCTCCAACAGTCTGCAGCAAAGTGAAGATGTAGCGACAGCAACGGATCACACATGCTAACTTGTCCTGTGGCGCCTTGGTGGAGTCTACACCTAGCAGTTCTGAAACAATCCACACTGTGTGTTAAGAGCTGGTAGGAACTCATCAGCAGATGCAGGACAGGACAGTCTGCAGCAAAAAAAAGATGTAGATTTTGAGAATCGCTGATAAATAAAGGCATTTTTATTTATTAATTACTTTATTTTATTTATTTATAATGCTGCAACACCGGACCACACACGCTAACTTGTCCTGTGGTGCCTTGGTGGAGTCTAGACCTAGCAGTTCTGAAACAATCCACACTGTGTGTCACAAGTGAATATGAACAAACTTTTAAGCCAACACTAAACCAAGGGATGAAACTGTTCAGAAATTGATTAAAGGGCATCAGTTTGTGTGGCTATATTTAAAATTTTCAACAGACGAGACAGTATCTATTTTATCGTCAAATATACAGGGTGAGTTTTAAATGAGTTCTCAACCACTTTTTTCTACATTTCTTAAGATATCAGATCATTGTAGAGTAGTTAGTTCCGGTACTTCATTTTGACTGGGTATACATTTTTGGCCGCCATCTTGGATCCGCCATATTGGATACAAAATTTGTTTTCAAATGTAAAGGTAGAGTTGTGGTTGTGACCCATAGTTTCAAACTAGACAGCTATTATTTGTAAAAATAAAAACTATAATATGTTGCACAAATGTTTGCAGGAAGATTTAGAAAAAATAGGTAATTGGTGTACAGTAAACAAACTAATTGTAAATATAAAAACGACTAAATGTATTGATTTTTCTTGTAAAGCAAATGAATTTGATTTTGTTCTTAAGTGTCATGTACATGGTTGTATTTATAGTTGCAATCGTCATGAAATTGAAATGTGTTCCGTCAAGTGTCTTTGTTTCATCTATTAATTTAAATGTCTTTGTATTTAACATCCCATCATATGACCATTATCCATTGTTGGATTCATTCATCGCGAATCACCTCTCATAACAACACCTACTCATTATTTCTCTCATAAATTAAACATTTTTTATACCAAAACCCTCGATCTTTTTACTCTTTATTATAATAACACCGCACATTTTTGGTCCTTTCGAGCCGCGGATTTTTGGTCCTATCGAGCCGCGGATTATATCTACGAACATTAGTGCGTCTTTTTCTCAAGTTAATTTAAATGTCTCGGTTGAACGTATTTCATCCAACGTGAAGCCGCCAAGGACAAAACCGCATCGCCATTTTGAACTTTTCATCTACGTCACGATACAGTCCACACTCCTCTCATTCCAAGTGTTCAACATCGTCATCGTTCTGCTAGTTCCGCTCCGCATTCATCACTTCATTTCGATTTCGTCTACAACTTCAACTTCAAACGTCAAACGTCAAGAAACTCAAAAGTAAGGTTATGTTTGTACTTCGAAGACAATGCACCGCATCTCATCGTAAGTTATCAAAATAAATCACTATCAACACTGAAATAATAAAGAAACCCTGATTTTATTCCTCAGTCGTCCTTATCCTCAAATTACTCCATCCATTTACAATAACTAGACTACTTACTTAAGTTAACTCATTGAACGATCAAGGCCTAACTTTCAAAATGAGATTTTCAACATTTTCTAATAGATGCAATTTGCAATTAGATAAATTAAATTCGATCAGTGAGTATATCCAATCGTGTCCATCAGAAATAACAGAAGCTCAAACCACTAAACTTAACCTTTATTTGCAAGAAGCTAAAACAATTTCTGCCAATTTTGAAGCTAACCTTGATAAGCTTCTTGATGTTGATGACAATACTAACGTTTTTTCTGACAAAGAAGAAGCTATTTTAAAGCTCCAGAACGACATAACAGAACTATCAATTAACATTCAAACAGAAATTTCTCTTCTTATTCAGAACTCTAATGATGAACACTTGTCAAATAACTCTGTAGCATCAAACCCAACCTCTAGGCCTACTCATAGCGTTGTAAAATTGCCCAAGCTAGAACTGAAGTCCTTCAATGGTGACACTAAAACATGGATATCCTACATTAACCTTTTTGATACTACTATCCACAACAACAGTAGCTTATCCCTTGTTGAAAAACACCAGTACTTGATAAGTTCACTTGAAGGCGAAGCCTTACACCTAATCAAATCCCTACCGATCTCGTCTGACAACTATACAGTAGCCTATAATGCTTTACGGGAAAGATATCACTCGAAGCGTAGGCTAATCTCTGTCCACCTCAGTAAAATTGTCGATTTACCCAATACAGTAGACTCTTGCTCATCCGGACTAATGTGGCGGACGTCCGGTCCGGATTACGAAAAATCCGGACTATCGAGAGTCAAGCAAATATTCGTAAATTTTGCCATTACGGCAAGCGGTTTCGTCAAAACACGCGCTAATACAAACGGGAGCGTCTAAAACAAGTTAAAACTATCGTAATAAATTACAGTCGGCTATTTTACTGTAATTTACAATAGCACTACTGTACTGTATTGATAAAAAATATAGCATAGTAATGCGGGAACTGTAAAAAACAAAGCAATTTACCATACGTTAAATGTACTGTATAAACTACTGTATTTACAGTAGCCTATACAGTACAACAGTACAGCAATGAATCACAGGAGTAAAATAAATAGTTCACGAAATGAACATAAAATTGTTTTATTGCAACAACAAAATATAAACGTGAACACAAACTTGACGTAAATAACAAAGCAAAAAAGAAAACTTTAGCTAGATAGGCCTATTTTTAGGAAGTTGTAACTGTCATAAAAAACAAAAAGTTACAATTGGAAAATTAATCCTCACAAACTTTACGTAAATAACAAAGCAAAAAAGAAAACTTTTGCAAAATAGGCCTACTTTTAGGAAGTTGTAACTGTCATAAAAAAAAACAAAAAGTTACAATTGGAAAATTAAACATCACAAACTTGACGTAAATAACAAAGCAAAAAATAAAACTTTAGCTACATAGGCCTACTTTTAGGAAGTTAACCTGTCATAAAAAACAAAAAGCTATGTACAATTGGAAAATTAAACCTCACAAACTTGACGTAAATAAAAAATACAGTAAAGTAACTTTAGACAGTTTACTCTATAAGTTAATTGAAAAAAAATGTACTGTAACGTATTTTAAAACTGACGTAACTTACAGTTCAGTACGACTTATGTTTTGAAAAAGTCTTTGATCGTGGCCTGCTTTACCGTCTTGGCTCGTTGTTTTGCCGCCATGTCCCTCAGCTTCCGCAAGCACATTAAGTCGGCAGCAGACACGCCATCTAGACGACTGACGTACTCCAGGGCTCCGTCCAGCATCTTGAACCCTTCCGAGTGTGGAATGGTTGGCTTGGGTTCAGGTAGGTCCTCTTCGTCCACCACTTCGTCGTCATTTGACACCATTCTTATGAAGTCGTCGTCGGTGATTTCATCTTCGTCGTCATTGTTCATCCACTCTAGTACATCACTTTCATTAACTTCGTCACATCCAGGAATTTTCTCCAACAGTGAGACAACATTTTCGGTTTCCACATGGTTCTCATCTTGTTTAAATTCCCCGCCGTCAATCTCCGTGAATTTGTTGCCCTCGTGGTCTAACAGAGCTTTCCACGATGAAACAATCGTCATGGGCGGGATTTCTTCC